TTTCTGGTTAACAGAGTGCTGGATAACAAAGGTTTCACTCCATGAAGAAGAGGGAACAAGAAGTGGCCAGCACCACAGAAACAGAATAATTCTGTCCTAATAGTCAAAGCTCTCTATAGGATTGGGCCACAGTTACCCAGAGGCTACTTCTCTCTGTTACCTGATGATGCATGTTCCATCCTCTATGACCATGAGAGCCACATTTTCCTGGAATCACTAGAGGCCATGAAAGGAGGTTTAATAATATGAGGAAGCAGTTTTCACAGGAGCTAGACCTAGATTTTAGAATTCCCATACAAGACAAGAATGACTGCAGCCTTAAATGCAAAACTTATTTCTCCATCTTAACTGTTCCTTGTTCAGTTTTCATTTTATAAAGTAATCTCTTTAATCTTCTGGCTTGTGAAGGAAGGCAGATAAAATGATACTGTTATTTCTATCTTTAAATAATGAGATGCCCAAACACTCTAGTGACAGGTAGGCATGTAAATGACTAGAGAAATAGATAAAACAGCACCAGACATGCAAATACCCTGCACAGGCATATGCAATATGATTATCCCCATTTTGCAGATGGGGAAATTAAGGCAAATAGTTAAGATTCTTGCCTGAGCTCATTCAGGATCCTAGTCACAAGGCTAGAAATAGAATCCAGGCTCCTGAGTCTCTGTCCACTGGGCAACACTGTCTTCCCCGTTAGTCAAACTCTAATAGTCTACTGTATTAGTTATAGAATTATTGAGAATTTATTAAAGACATCTTAGCATCTCATTCAAAGCCAAAAACAATGAAGAAATTGAAATAGAAAGTTATTCAAAGTAATACCATCAGGTACTGTACGTACTGATAATCTGAATATCAATGTGGTCAACTCTAAAGGTTATCTCTTGGGTGACATGTCAATTTCATATGATTATCTTGTAGGGCTGCTAAAATGAAAGCTATGGAAATAAATTTTGAATCACTTTATATCTTTTCAGGTGGCTGACTGGATATTATATAAATTATAGATATACACATGCACAAACATACACTACATTTAGACACGTACAGTAAGAGATAGTGATGATCTAACTTAATTTTTTTCTTTTTATAACTTAGGAAAGAAACCAAAATAGCACTAAAAAAGCTGTCTGATGCAAGATACCTTTTTATAGATATTGACAGATTCACACAGGGAAGTGCAAATTAAGGACACATTTTTGATCTGTTTTGAACAGCCATGCTCTAGGAAAGGGGGAAGCTTGGTTTTAAGCGTATGCACCATTCAAGGCAGGACTGATTTTAAGAGGAGTTGCACACAACTATTTATCATAGGCAGAATGTAACCCTATTAGGGGTTATGTTCTTGATATACAAACCTTTACCAGGATAGAGAAGAGCCGTCTTCACTTTGCAGTGGGCTAAGAAAGAATATATAGATCTAATCTGTATATTTTTATTCATTAAAAAGGGGCACTTTAAAAAACTCAATTTTTTTTTGTGGGGTTAAGAAAAGGACAGGACAGCAGGACTTTTATGCATAGGCAGAATGTAACCCTATTTGGAGTATTTCTTCTAGGTATATAAACTTAGGCCCTGATCCTGAAAGTTGCTCCTGCATGCACATTCAGCCACAATGTCTTGTAAAAAATCATGTCTACAGTGACAAGCTGTTTAGTTTGAATTTTATTTGCTTATCATGTCTATTGGTGCCTACTGCCATGCACTCATGACACTTAGCTTAAAAATTAAAAAGCTGAAAGAGTAAGCATTTTTCAACACAAAAGACCAAACTATGGAACCCAAATGACTGTTCCCTCAAATACAGTAAGATTATACTCACAACTGAACTATGTTTTCATAGTTTGAACACATTCCTGCCACCAGAGTTTTAAAACAACCACAAAAGAGTAAATTTGCCAAGTATATCTCCTTGAGTCGTACCCCATGACTCCCTTAATACTAATGAAAATTGTCTAAATACTGTGAGGGCAATAGAAAATGCCTTTGTGTATTAAGCATCACGTTAATTGCCTTTGTGTAATTAAGGCATGTGATCATCGAAAGTTGTGATTGCTCTCAGCTCCCACCTCCATCTCTCTTGCTCTGAAAAAAAGGTTACCTGGCTGATTTATGCAGTATCTACTCTCTTTTGCACATGAGTGCTTTTTATAAACATACATACTCCCCACTCTCAATGTGACAGGAAGACAGTAGAGTCTTCTGAATCTGAAAAATTAAGAATACTTGTTTGTTTGCTTTTTAAAAATCAAACTCATGCTTACACACTGAACAGGTTTGATTTATTTTATTTGTTTAGGCCTTTTCTTATGGTCTGGGAGACTTTGTATTTAGCCAGAATAAAATGAAAGACATTACCCCTAGCAATAAGTGGGTAAGTAGCAACCTTCCAACAAGGTAGCTGATAAACCATTTGGAGGAAATCATCCCAGACAGGTTCAACCATGTGGTAAGGAGGAAACAGATTTAGCTAACAGTGTTAATGCCTTTGCCAACCCACAAGGCCAAATGTGTTAATGTTTTGGCTAAAACCTTTCCTAGGATGTACAAGAGCTGTGTCTTCTCTTTGAAGTGCACTAAGAAAAGGATGAATAGATATGTTCTGTATAAATTTTGCTCTCATTAAAAAGGGATATTTTAAAACTTCAATTTTTCTTTGCAAAGAAATCCAGCAGCAGAAAAGTTTCACCTTTGCTGAAATCCTCTCTTTTGATTCTCTCTTTCATTGGCTAAATTAGTGGAGAAAATAAAAAGAAAGAGTGAAAGAGAAAAGTGTCTGGTGTCTCTGCTTTGAGAAGAGGTCCTTAAATAATCACAGAGACAGTAACTGATTCAGTCAGAGGATTCTGTGAATAAAGAAAGTGACAAGCAAAACTAATTTGAGAAGAAAGCTAGTGAACATTCTCCCATGTAAAATCAACAAGCAAGCATTTCATTTCAAAAGGACATTTGAAAAAATGTCAGGACTCATGACGCTCTGTACTTTCAGAAATATTGAATATGATGATTATTTTGCATAAGATGTCTGAAGTAATTGTCAAAATGTCTGAGCATATTATTTAATAAAGTCATCCATCTTCAATCCTGATAACAATCATCACAGGAGGCAAGTTTCTGGAGTGTGATGATCAACTATTATTATAACTAGAAATTAGAACAGGCCAGAAAAGAAAAATAGAGCAGTTCTTGAAATCTACAGAGAGGTCAAGTATCCTGAACATTAGACTTATCACCAAACTATAAAGTTACCAGCACTGTCTTGAAGTTGGAGCTGGTTAAAACCAGAATTGTCATTCTAGGGGGAATTAATTTAGATTTTTTCCAAAATGCCGTTGAAAATGTACACATTTCCATGAAATATTTTGATTTTGAAAACTGTTTCATCAACAATTTTTCCAAGCTCTGCTTTAAGTACTCAATGTCAGGCATGCCAGCCCTGAAAGCAGTACTTCTGAGCATGACACTACGAGCCAGATTTTCAATAAGCCTATGTAAATTGTGTCATGCAAAATTTGTGAGATCATATTCTATCTCTGCCGCTCAGCTTATGTTTGCAAATGTAAAGCCTTCATTCATGCAATCAAGAAAGTTAATGATAAATGCATTAAGTGACCATATTTTTGTGGTGACCCTTTGTGGAGTGTCAAAACAGTCACATAAAAGACAAAAATATCCTTTTTTTAAAATGGTGGTGTCACTCCCGCTAAATTTTGACTCAGCACCAACATGTGCACTTCCGATGCAAAGCTTCCCATAAACAACTATTTCTGTGGACATTTGCAAAACTCACTGGAGCTGCCATTCTCACAAATAAACACACACAAACATAAATGAGCTTGGCAGGATTGGATTTTTAGCTGTAAATGTCAGTAAATGTCAATGTTACCATACATTCACAAACCACTAAAAAAATATTGATAATGAAAAATGTTGCTTGACACCCCGTGAGAGTTTGATATATGGATATTTATTTTGTATGTTTTGATGTGCAATGTCAACAATTAGTGTTTTACCAACTATGAAGGCTTAGCTTTTTTAATCTAAATATCTAATGTCATTAAATAACTTGTCTGGATCCCCACCCCTATTGTTTCCCATTCTCCGACCCTCAATTTCCCACAACTGTGAACATTTAAATAGATAAAATTTTGAAATGCTTAAAAATAAACAGTGATGTTATCCATCAAAATTATTTTTAAAATAATCAAATTCTGGCAAGACTACACATAAATCATCAGAGAAACTTACTGAATAGTTTTTAAATGCCAACATGAATTCAAATGGTTTAAATTTACTGAATATTTTGAAACACTTCTTAAAAAAAAACCTGGAAAAAGTCCTCTGATATAAACTGTCCACATTATATTCTCAGTCATTCAGGTACAATGCCAACTAATGTAAAATTCTATTTTGAAACTGTTTTTGTACACAAAGAGAAAAGATTTACTGTTAAGAGGAACAACATTTTATTTTAGATCTATGGAAAATAAAACAATATGCAAAAGTAAAGTTTCCATGAGAGGGGACAATCTCATAATATGCAGCACAAAATGGCAGCTTCTTTGTAGAAATGTGACGGTTCATAGCACAAAACCACATAAAATCACAGATACCTAACTATATGTACCACAACACCCAGGAGGGCACTGCCTATTTACTTTAGCAGCTGCTACACCAATGCAGAATTCGGCCCAGTACATCCTAAACATGAGATCAGCAAAAAGCTTCACAAACATTATCTATCAAACAGCTCACTGGCTTTAGGTCTATACGGACAGCAGAGACTTCATCTCTTCCCCCTCCTACTCAATGACATATAATAATGATGACACTAGTGAGCCTCCAAATGCAAAATGAAATAGCATTAATTAGCAAAGAGGCATTTGCTACTTTCATTTCAGCCTTACAGCCATGCTGAAATAATGATCCTGGCAACATGTTAGCAAAACATGAGAAACATTTTAAGAAGCAAATAATTTAATTAGAGTGTTCTCTGAGGCAGTTTATATTGCATGACCCTTGACCTTTTATATTGCTGTACCTAAACTCAGCATGGGATTCACACTTCCTATTCCTGTCACAGAATCTCTCCATCTTGTACCATTTAATATAGTGTGCTCCAGGTGTTCTGTGGTGAATGAATAGTTATATTACTACCTGTCAGACACAATCACACTCTATTCATCATTTGCGGCTGGCTGCGTGAAGCCCTGCTTCCAGCAGGCTCCCTCTCTATTTCCTTGTTCAAACGTCTGCAGTGCTTTCGGCCCATCTGTCACGCCTGTCATTTAGAGGGAAAACAGTATCAGCACTTTAAATATATGGAGTTCTCTATTGAAACAGTGCTGTGATAGAACTGTCAGCATTCTCACTATCACAGACAGTAATTCATGACTGGTCAGAGCTCCATTTAGGTTGCTATTACTATGTTGACCCTGCAGGGTCTTGCTGAGGGTCCCCCCCTGTTTCATAGTTAGATCTATAAATAGTGCAATTAAGCCTGCAAGAATTACAAAACATTCTCCATTTCTACCATTCATTCATTCGCTGTTCATGATTTTTAAAATAAGAATAAAAATATCTTAAAAAGGATTGGGTATTCGTGTTTGTTGAAATGCATAAGCAGTTTCAGTGGAGTATATATAAATATTAGAGTGGAGCTGGTTTTGCAGCCCATTCATAGGTAAAACTTCCATTGCCATGGAGAGGAGTTTTGTCTAAGGAACGACCCATTGTCTCAAAAAAAAAAACCTTTAAATAAGTCATGTCTCAGTCATTAAAAACCTTGGTTGTTGACATAATACAAAACAACATATTATGTTTTCTAGCCAATTATAGAATTGACTTTAAAATAAAATGATCTATTGAAGTCATTACGTTATAGAGGTTTTTTTATGTCTGGCAATTCCTGATCCTTTGCCAAAACATCCAACAATTAAAGAAACATACAGAACAGAACAATTCTCCAGGAAACAAAGAAAATACATCTACTTTTGGAGTGGACACAGAAGGAACTCTTTTTGATCTCCCAATGTAACCTTCTCATGTAATTCATTAGTAATTAGTAAACACCAATCTCCCTGAGTAACTCAAAGTCAAGTATTAGCTCAAGGCAGTGCTATGTGCTGGTTTTTAAATTCTATAATTTGCATCTTTAGAAAATATGATAAAACTTATGTGTGAGAGGAAGCATGGGGCAGTGAATTAGGCACTAGATGAAACCAGGTTGCCTCAATCTCATATTCCGACACTGACTTGTTGTGTGTGACCTTGGGCAGTTCACTTTCCCTCTCCCACCCATTATTGTTGTTTTTTTCTTTTCTAACCCTTCTGGAGTAGGAACTGAGGAGTTTATTTATAGAGGTATTATCCCTTTACAAAGATTTTGATCAGTCTAGTGAAACTCATTGTGGTTTATGTTGTTAGGGTTGCCAGATGGTTGAACCAAAAATACCGAACATAACTCCCCCCCAAAAAAAGAACCCTGAGAGTAATTATGCAAATATATATATATATATATTAATCAGACAGGAGGCGAAAATACCGGACTCTCCGGGTCAATACCGGACACCTGCCAACCCTATATGTTGTAGAAGCCACCTGAAACTAGTCAGAACAACAGTAGCTAGGAACAGCATGCTGGTATATATTTAGTAACCACGGTTATTTGGAACCTGTCCATGTTCCATTTGTGTTAAGTCAAGATCAAAAGACAATAGAATGTATATTTGAACATTTTAGTAACCACGGTTATTTGGAACCTGTCCATGTTCCATTTTTGTTAAGTCAAGAGCAAAAGACAATAAAATGTATATTAGAACACTGAAGTCTTGCTCTCAGGCTATATCTACACTGCTGGGTATTTTTCTTTTTCTGGAAGAGGCTTTTCCAACATTTGGCTCATCTACACGGGGCCAAATGTCAGAAAAACCTCCTCTTTCGGAACATCCCTTATTCCTCATAAAATGAGGAATACAGGGATGCCGAAAGAATGCGTCCACTTTTTCAGAAACTGTTCCGAAAAAGCAGAAGCATACTTTATAGTATCCCAGAAAAACTCAGAAGTGTAGACATACCTTCAGTATGCTTATTTCCTGTGTGGTTGGTTACCTAAGTCACATGGCAGTGTAACTATCCTGGAATTGGCAGTTCCCCAAACTCACAAGCAGTATGCTTATTTCCTGTGTGGTTGGTTACCTAAGTCACATGGCAGTGTAACTACCCTGGAATTGACAGCTCCCCAAACTCACAAAGAAATTTCAGGAAAATCAAATGCACAGATTTCAGGGTGGAAATGCACATTTAGAATCAGAATCATGACATTCTCGTAAACATTTTTAAAGTAAAATTTGCTAAAACAAATAGTTGCCCAAAAAGAGGCTGCATGTACCAAAACTAATTTGCATTTTTTTGTCCAAATGAATATATTTTTGCAACACAAACACTGTTCTGGACTGTTAATGTTGGTATTCCATGGGGAAACCCAAATAAAGTTTTAATATTATTGATGCAAAGGTCATATGGCTGCAAACACCAACGCTAGTAATAGAATTTTCTGCTCATTGAGCAATTTCATTGGGAGAGAAAGAATGTATCAGTGTTTGAGAAGCAAAGAGGTACAACACAAACAGTCTTGTATTGTTATTTTCTCTCAACACTCCTTTTCTTGTCCTCTGAAGGCAAAATTGTTTGCTTATTACAGATATAGAACAAATTTAATTATTTCAGCCAGTTTGTGACTATTTTAGATTCAGAAAGAAAGGTAAAGTAATATAAATCATCCCCTTCTTGTTACTGGTTTTCTTGAATGTCTCTTTTCTCGTCCACTCCCCCATGAATGCAGATGCCATAGACTATTACAGACACTGAATAAATATAATTAAGACGTAATGTCATCTAGTTTCTCTTTTGGGGGGGGCAGAGGGGGAAGATGGTCATAAAACAGAGGCACAAAACAGCTCCCTTTTTGTTGGCCTTAGCGTTATAATGAATTCTTCAGTTTCTGTCTGCCCTCAATCTGTAGGCAAAAGCCTTCACTTATTATAGGAGCAGAATAAATGCAAGTCTCATCTCATTAACTGTCATATTACCAGGCTGTGTGCCACACCATTCAAGTTTCACTGAGCATTCAGAATTGCTTAATTATGTACAGTAAAAACAGTCTGTTGAGACTTTCCCTTTCAGATTATTATGGTGGCATGAGGACAGAGGTCATCGTCATGACACACTCTTGCCTGGCACTGTGCTTTAACTCAAAATGACAGAGGCCTTTTGTTGGCAATAAAAAAAATTAAAGAGCATTTGAAAAATAAGATGTTTTCCATCCAGTGATAAGAGCCACTTTCAAGTCTGTAGACTAACAATCGATTCCCCACCCCCCACCCGCATTTCTGCGTTGGTGTTAAACCACACGGTGCATTCCTTATAAATTATACCACCCTATGTTAATTATTGTGTGCTGACACTGCTTGTCATTACTAAGCCTACTACATGCTTTGTGTGCTCAGATTTAATAGCTGTTTGTTCTGCAGAATGTGGCAGAGCTGTACAAGAGACAGACCGGTCATTGCTCACGTCCCTTTCTTTATGCTTTCACATTTTGTTCTATTTTTAAAACAAACATGCAGAAAAATCCCAGATGTGCAGTTTACAATCTGGAAATGTCACTGTATTCATTCAGTCAAAACAGACAATACCTTACTGAGCAAGCATTGGAAGCCTATGATAGATCATTTCTAAAACCCTCTATAATTCTTCACCCACCTACTGGATAAAGATTTTAGATATGAAAAGCATATATACATATATAACACACACGTGTATTTCTTCATGTCTGTTTCTGTATACATGATCTGTTTGTTTCTGCTTCCCATTGAAAAATTCTGAATCAGCACTCCTTCTAAGATGAAAAGCTTTGTCTTCTAGTCTATTCATTTCCAGAGCAATAACTTGAGAAGGAGGCAGGCTGCTGGTAAGGTTAATCAGTTAGCCAGCATGCTACATTGTGGAGAAGTAAATCATATGGACTATTCCTCTTCAGCCAGTAATTTTGTACTTCATTTCTTTCTTTGAAAACTAGAACCCACACTTGTTTCCACTTAGCCAGGCACACAAGAATGTATAAAAGGAAAGAAAAAAAATCACCGCAATTTCACTAAGAATTTTACCTTACTGAGCCAGTTAAAGGGAAAATTGATCCTTTCAGATGATATGTATTCCCAAAATATTCTGGATTAAAAAACAACAAGAAACCACCTCTAGACTTTCTCATGAGTGTACAACATCTATCACTGTATTTTAGAACAATTTTATAGTGAAATTTTGGTAGAGTGCCCCCCAGCTTTGCAGGGAAAAGGGAACACTTATGAATCGTTATAATAATTATTATTACTGATATTAATTAGGTCAGAGAAGTGTTGGTCTAATTATATTCTCTTCTTGGGATGCATCTGCCTTTCAGCTCTCTTTTTTGTGGTCTTTTTTTTTTTTAAATTCAGTCCTCCCCCTCCCCCACATCCCATGTGGATACACATTTCCTCAAGATTTAAAAAGCATGGTATCTCTTGATGATGTAATAATTTCATGACATTTTACACCACGACCAGGCCCATGCTGATGTATCATACATTTAAAAGGGTAGCCACAAATAGCAAGAAGTAGTGTGCAAATTCTAACCACTCTGTCAGTGTCAAAATAAATTGGGTTTAGATGTACTTTTAGGAATTGTTTACTATCCTCCAAAAATACAATCCATTATTATTTAGCTTTAGAAGTTTTGGTTCACTATATTATGTTCCCTTTCAACAGTATCACGGGGTATGTTCTCCACTGCATCATTCTCATGGATGAAGACTCAGGATTTTCCACCTCTTAAGGTCGCCATGACAATAAAAATGTAAGGTTAATAGTATTGAATAAGCCATTTCAGGAAAGCTCAATATGGGCAAGTGAATACGTGAGGGGATTAACAGTAGGGCATAATGCCTTTCATCTATCAGTTCCTACTTTGAACTCATTTAGTCAGAGATGAGGAGAGTTCTGTTTAAATGGCAACATTTATTTCAATTATACAATTAAACAGAAATTCAGCACAGAAACTTTGGTTGATATATGAAATACAAAAGCTTCAGGGGGGTAGCCGAGTTAGTCTGTAACAGGAAAAACTTTAAAAAAACAACCAATAGTCTAGTAGCACCTTAAAGACTAACAAAACATGTAGATGGTATCGTAAGCTTTCATGGGCACAACTCACTTTGAAATGAAATACAGAATAGGAAATAC